GTAGGGAAATTGGTATAGGGAATCTCATGGTAACTGAACTAGGAAGCTTCCTAGAAGCTGGGGTGGGGGCTGTTGTGTTAGTTAATAAATACATTAAGGGCAGTTCAGGAAAAAAAACTAGCCAAGGACTAAGTAGAAAAAAACAAAATTCACAAAGGGCCTGAGTGCAGAAACTGTTTCCTTAAGGCTGCCCTACTTGCCTTGCCTATAAAGGCATCTTTTCTTGCCTTTCAAGGTAGAGTTTAAGAGCTAAAAATTCACTGAAAATTACTGTTCCATTGAACTACCTGCGATTTTCTTAATTTTTTTATTTCTGAATAAACTTTTGATCCATCTGGTTTTGAAAATGGTTTGAATTATAAGCTGTGGCCGATTTCTGTTGCTGTTGGCCTATTACTGCTGCTTCATCTTAGTTTCAGACTAATTTTTGGTCTATTCTGCTGTTATTCAGGTACACACTTCTGCATTTCACCTAATGTAAAGCTTGAGTTGGAATCAAAATATGAATTTGGAGTTTCTGAGTAGTAGTCATAATTAGTTGTGTTCATAGCTTAGTTTACTTTGTTTACTTGTTTAATTCCTAGTTTTATGGTACATGACATTTTGTTAGGTGTTGAAAAATACTATGTTGCAGGTTGTATTTGGTTTGAAATAAGGGATAAAGGTTTATTTGATTCTGCACTTGATGAGTTAAGTTGGATGATTGATGTCCTATATGCATCTTTTAGAGAGTCTCACTTATTGTCTTTCTAACTTTGAATAGGTGATTAGCGATCGGGATTATGAACATTGTACGCTACCTTGTCATTTGGTTCTTTTCTACATATGAAATCTCGAGTCTGAAACCTTTGGTGAATTGCAGTTAATCTTGTTAGATGGAATTATGTATGATAAAATGTTGGTTCAGATGCATGTTTCATGGTTGTGATTTGAATTGCAACGTTAGACCCTTCCTGATGTTGGTTTAGAAAACTTGGGTTTATTCTCCATTGTTCATTTCAGATCTGTTTTGCATCGATTAACATATAGTACAATTATGTTTTTGATAATGAATGAGCATCTTTAATCTTGAAAGGATTTCTGAATGGGGTTAAGCTTGGTTTTAGATTGTTGATTTTAGCTTTGTCCAATTTTTAGGTTGAAGTATGAGTTCCTGTAGGAGCATAAAATAGCATATGTTTCTCATATTTTGTCACTATGATGTTATGCATGCTGTAGATTTTTGAAAAAGAGGATCAACATTTGCTTCGACTCTCAGGCAACAATGTGACTGGCAACCTCAAATTCAAACGCCTTACACTTTGTACCATGTGGAGACTCGATCTCGAGTCTCTAAGTCTGTTGGAGCCGGTTTATTCCCCAGTCTGGGCTCTCATTTGGGCCCAACATGATTTTACTATAAATTGTTAATATGGGGCAGCCTTGTATTCGTAGGCTATTGGGCCTCACGCCCCGTCCAAGCAGTCTTTAAATAATCAGTCTTTCCTTCTAGTGGCAACGTCATTTTTAGTTAGCTTAAGCAGTAACAGAATCCCAACTCCATTAATGTTCGGATAATTAAACTTCTTGAATAGTGGAGGTGAGCCATATTAGATAACACAAATAACTTATGGCCCTCATTAGTTAGTTTAGAAACCTTTTGGTTGGAATAAATCGAGATGTGTCGTGTCAAACAAAATCTCAATTGCACGGCCCTCGCTTAGTTAATATGTGAATCCTTAGAATTCGAGGCGTACCATTTAGCAAATTGTCATGGCCCTCACAAAGTTGCAAACGCGTGGTTGCTTTAGGCGCATTATTTTAATAATTTACCTTCCTAAACTCGGGTGCGCATTTATGCGACCCAAATCCAAATCTCAATGATGTTAAAATATGTCAAAGACCACAGGTGCATTTATGTAACGTGATTTGAGACATGTTTTAATAACATTGCAATTTCTCTAAGAATGAATAAAAACGGTTAAAAGTTAAAATTTGCACATAGGTTTTAAAGATGTATTAAAATCAGATAATGAGCCAATAATAACAGTTGAGCGACCGTGCTAGAACCACGGAACTCGGGAATGCCTAACATCTTCTCCCGGGTTAACAGAATTCCTTACTCGGATTTCTGGTTCGTAGACTGTAATACAGAATCAATCTTTTCTTCGATTCGGGATTCTAAACTAGTGACTTGGGACACCATAAAATTATCTCAAGTGGCGACTCTGAATTTAATAAATAAATAATCACGTTTCGATTGTCACTTTAAGTTGGAAAAACTCCCCTTATACCCCTTCCGGGGGTGTAAGTAAAAAAAGGAGGTGTGACATGTTCTTGTTTTTTCATCTTCAAGCACGATCTTCTTTTTGCGAGCCAAGTCCATGACTTTGTCCTTAAAGACAAAGCACTTCTCCAGAGGGTGGCTTATAAGTCGGTGATATTTGCAGTAATTTGGGTCATTTGTTTTCCCAACTTCATTTGGTCGCTTCATCTCCGGAAGCTCAATAAGATTTAACTCGAGGAGTTCTTCGAAAATGGCTGGCACATCAGAATCCAGAAATGGGTACTCCTTCTCTTGCATTTCTTTTAGAGTTAGCTTCCCACTTGGCTTATCTTGAAGAAGTGGATTTCATACTCTGCTTCTTGCTCTCCTTCGTTGTGAACTTCACAGGTGACGTGTTGACATTCATAGCTTCTTTGCTTTCAGACTTGGGTACGAACTTGCCCCACTTCCTGACTTCTTGCTTGTCATTCCCTTTGCAAGGTTCATAGATGGGCAGCCTTTCATTTCCAGTGGAGGTCATGCTCAATTCCATGTCATGGGCACGAGTTGCAAGTTCTTCAAATGTGCCAGGCTTGATACCTTGCATGATGTAGCGCAATCCCCAATGCATGCCTTGGATGCACATCTTTATGCCTGAAGCTTCACTAAGCCTGTCTTTGCAGTTGAAGCTTGCATTCCTCCAACGATTGATAAAGTCAATAACTGGTTCCCCCTTTCGTTGACAAGTATTTGTAAGTTCTATCATACTCACAGTACATCCCGTACTATAAAAGCGATTGAGGAACTCTTGCTCTAGTTGATCCCAGATATCGATAGATCCAACCTCGAGGTTCATGTACCAGTCAAAAGCATTTCCTTTTAGCAAGCGGACAAACTGCTTGATGAGGTAATCTTCATAAGTCCCAGCATAATTGCACGTCTCCATGAAGTGCGCAACATGTTGCTTTGGATTACCTTTACCATCAAACTGTTGAAACTTTGGAGGTTGATAGCCAGTAGAAATCTTCAACATATCGATCCTTGCAGTGTACGGCTTTGCATATGTAAGGGAGGATTTGGCAGCAACTTCATATTTGTTCTTAATAGTTCCTTCGATGAACTCCTTCAGTTGATCGATTGGATAGCCTTAGTGGATGCTGCTTGTCTTGGGGGAGGATCAATCTCTTGAACTTCTGGGAGTTTGTCGGGTGCATGGGTGGATTCCTCTTCCATCAAGATTCCCACCCTGTCTGTTAGCTTATCAATTCTAGCCTCTTGATTTTGCATGCATTTGGTCAAGCCAGCGATTGCTTCCGTCAAGTTTGCCAATTGCTCCTCCACAGATGAAGTGTTTATCACCATGGCTTGCATGATTGTCGTGGACGATGGAAAGTAGCGTGGATTTTCACACAGATTGATCCTTGATTGGCTCAGTCTATATGGTGTAAGTGGGGAGGATCCATCACTTGAAGCATCATCATCTTCCTTCACAGCAGAGTGCTTGGATCCGGAGAGGTCAACCATAGCAAGAGTTTTCTTGATCTTTTCAGCAACATCGCTTCCTCCTTTAGGGGTGTTTGTGGAAGATCTTGCTCCTTTTGAGGATGAAGATCCGAAAACAGGGGTTGATGCGGACGGCACTTGGGGTGCTTGTTGTCCTAAAGAGCTTGCTTTGCTCCTCGTAACTGGTCCAAAGCTTTCAAAGGTAACATCGAGGATGCTTTCCACATCAGCATAGAATTTGTAGACAATAAATTTACGTCGAGAAAATAAAATCAAGACCAAAAAATATCGCAACAATCGTAGTATTTGATTTCGAATATTTGAGTGTACAATCTCTGTGAATCCTCTGATTCTTCCTTCCAATAGTAAATAAATTCAAGGGCCTTTGAGCTTGATCTTGAATCTATATTTGTTTCCACGAACGATGATCTTGTTCTTGAGCTTGAGCTTGACTGCTTGAACTTGATCTTAATTCGTTCTTTGTTATTGAGCTTGAACTTGAACTTGATTGCTTGAAGCTTGAAACTTGTAGAGAAATTTGCGGCGTTTAATCCACGAACTCTTTTTTTTTTCTTGTTATAACTTTTGATCCCTTTTTTGGGTTATGAAGACCCATATTTATAGTTGTGGGAGGGAAGAGTTGTGATAATAACAAAACTTTTTCCGACCAATCAAATTAAAGTGTGACATGGCTGCATTTGATTGGCCAGAACATGTCACTTGCACACGTGGCACGATTTCATTGACCTTTTAGTGTGACTGGGCATGCCTTGTCATTTTGACACGTGGCATGATCCTATTGGCTCTTCCGCTTGACTTGGTCCGCCACGTCATTTGACACATGGCAACAAACTGGGTCTCTAGAAAGATGACATCTTGGGTTTAATGAAGTAGGCTCATCACTTTAACCCAATTTAAATGGGCTAGCCCAATGGATTAAATAAATAGCCCAATAGATTAAGACTTATTATTTAATCCATATTTATTGTACTTATATAATTAGGTCAATTATATTAGCCCATAATATTTATTTGGACCAATATATCTTGAATTTAAAATATAATCCAAATTACTTATTGAATTTAAATTCAATAAATTTTGTATGCCTACAAACACATTTTTGAAAATATGTTCCAGAAAAAAGGAAAAACAATCTATGGACAAATGCGTAGTGGATGTCTATTTATTCAATTAGTAAGAAGTAACAAATAATGATCGAGCGCATTTGATTAAAAAACTTTGGACAATGAAATGATTTCTCGTAAAGTAATTTCAACATGAAAAAAAAAAACTCGTTCATTAATAGATAGTACTCCTAACTTTATTAATTATAATCAAAACTCAGTAACATTAATTCTTCACTCTTCAAGAATCACACTTAATTTAGCAGTAATTTTTTTTCGTTTCAAGCCTGAACCATCGATTGGGACAAGATCCTGTAGTCTTGTGTAGTACTTGACATGATCTTCTGATCCTTCAAAATACATCAAGGGATCAACCCTTTTCATCCAACAACAACTACCACAGCTCTTTTTATCACTTGTTTTTATTGCAGCAATGGCTTTTACGGCCAAAGTAGCCATGTCCTCCACCTGAAGCATTAGTGGAGCCAGAATTTTTATTAAGTGAAGTAGCACTATAAATAAGTAAACACGCGAAAAAATCAAGGGGATTCAACATATAATATACAGCAGCAGCAACAACAACAACAACAACAACAACAAAAAATCCAGTGATTTCCAACAAGTGGGGTCTGGGAAGGGTAGGACATATGCAACCTTACTCCTACCCAAGAAAAGCAAAGAGTCTGTTCCAATAGACCCTCGGCTGGAGAAAGAATGGAAAAAAGTAATGGCAATAAGTAAAAACAACAAGAAGATAAAAATAAGACCGAAGCCAAGAAAGCAGTTAAATATGTAGTAATAGCAATCTATGAATAAAATAATATCTTACTAACACTAACGCTAGCTAACTGAGTAAGACAAAGAGAGACGTTTGACAACCTACTAGTCTTCTATCCTAATCTTTAACTTCCATACCTTTCTATCTAGGGTCATGTTGCGCCATGTCCCGCCAAATCTCCTCTCCCCAGAACTTTTTAGGCCCTCTACCCTCGTAATACCCACCAAAGCTAACATCTCGCATCTTCTAACTGTGGCTTCTATGCTTCTTCTCTTAAAATGAAAAAATTACCTAACCATATACCTTCGGCGAGGGGTGTCAAAGGTGGTTCAGCCACTGACCTGAAGGCGATGAGTCAACCAATTCAGCGGCAGCTCGAAGTAAAGCTGACCAGGCAGCAGCTCATCGTCATCACCGAGCGGAGAAGCGAATCCATCAAAATCCATTTCATCTGAATTACATATGAAAGTAGTGGGGGTTTCTAATTGCAGCAAGTTAAAGATTTTGATAGGAGAAAAGAATTCTTCAAGTTCACCATTTACATGGATTAACTTAGCCGTGACCTTAGACCTCGATTTACAAGAACCACAATTTCCCATCTGCCTAATAAGTTGATATTCCCATAAATATAATAGATTTAATGTGGTTCTATTTGGAGTAGGGTGTTATATATTCTAGGTCATAGAGTTATAGTTTATTCTTGAAATTAAGGAAAGAGTCTATTGTTCGTAGAAAGAGTCTATTGGTTATTACCGGAGCTATGGTGAGATGGATACGGTTTTTTCAACCTTAATTAGAGCTATGGTGAGATGGATACGGTTTTTCAACCTTAACTAGAAGTCTCGAATTCGAGCCATGTAAATAAAAAAATCTTAATAGGGAGTACTTCGTCCTTTGATCAACTTTATACAATGTGAAATTGAATTATCTGAGACTTCAATACGAATATCAGATACTGAATGAAAAGATAATTTTAAAAAAAAGTCTTATTGTTTGCTTCATTCTTAATTTTCTTTGTTGTCGCGTTGAAATTGCCGGTGGTCTATGGAATATTTCATATTCGGCAAGATCATACTAAGAACAACGTTGCTTGTTACTTCATACAATTTAAATGCTTTCAAGTTCAATTAAATATTAAGAGTAATGGACGCTAATATAATAAAGATTCCATTGAAGATAAGGCATATTCATTCCTTCTTTGAGGGTATTATTACTTTTAGTCCGCGCTAGAAATTATTTATATTTGGTAGCTGAAAAAGTGTATAAAATTTGTATAATTTTTGTATATAACATACAAAATGTATATATATATATATAAATTACAAATTTTATATATTTTTTTGACTATTATTTTTACGGCAGCTATATAGGGTATTTTTTCCTTCTTTAATACTGGAATTGAATCTACCTTCCTGATAATTCGTATGGCCGAATCACTTTCAGAATCTTGAGTCTTCCACTTCCTTTTGTATTGACATGTTTACTGATCTTTTTTCTTTGGGTATAATTTGGTTAATGTTTTAGGATTTAAATAACAGTGCCTAAAGTATCTTTTCTTCCAGCTAAATCTTTGATTATTCTCAGGTCACACGATGACAATCTATTGATAAAAAAGATCTTAATTTCAAATTTAATGTCACCAGTTTGAATTCTAACTTAATTGAGTTTTTACTCTTCACATTAACTATATTTTTGATTTAAAACTAGTTTTCTCAGTTTCAAATTATTCCTGTCGTATGCAGACAAAAATATTTAAATTATATATACTGATAACATAAAGACAAAAGCAGCACTATATTAGAATTCAAGCAACATAAAGAAAATTTGGTGCTTACATCCATATCGAACGAAAGACAAAAGGATTTGCTAGAGTGACTAGCACTAAAGTATGGGTCAACAAGTTGATGTACTCAAATTTTAACTCATTATTGCTTAACTGAAAAGATGAAATTTCACCAATAAAATAAAATATAGGAGTGGATGGTACACAATTTTCTGATATAAGGGGTGAAGTACACAAATAGACTTTAAAGTGGATTTTAAATTTAAATTTTAAATTATGCTCACTTGTCTCGTGAGCAGAAATAAATTTAACAACTGTTGTGCTTTGCTTGTCCCATAAACAATACTTTTAATTTTTGACCTTGAAATTCCGCTCATAGGACAAGCGAGGTCAAAAGGTTAAAACCACCCAAAAAAGTGTCATTTCTACAATTTTTTGTCATTATTTTCCCTTTGGGCCGAGGGTGCTATGCACAGGCTAATGATATACAAATAGGACACTTTTGTGCAAATATTAATTTTTTTAGACGAAGTGCACTACTTTTAAGTCTGCTACTAAAGATATATTTACAATTTACGATATGTTTAAAGATAAGCTAGTTAGCCAAATTTCATAACTAAGTATTTTTAATTTTTGTCTCCTAAATTTTTGAGCTGTTAATTTAATATTCAGAATTTAGTGTCCTAAATTTCTAAATTTTCAATTTAAAATTCAGGATATAAAATTCTAATTTTGTGGACACTATATTCGAACTCTAGGACATAATGTCCTGAAGTTTGCAGTATTCTGAAGTTTGAGCAAATTGGATAATCTTTAAATACATTGTAAACTATGAATATATTTTAAATAACATGCTTAAAAGTGACTACCTAAAATTATTTTTCCAACTTTTTGGCTCTGATAATGAGAGTTTTGATAAGAAAAAAAACTCTATAACAGAATTTTAAAGCACGCTAGGTAGGATTTTCCCTAAGCGTCAAAATTTTAAAATACGATTTTGCCATAAATCCCAACGAATCATTAGAATTTTCAGCCACAATATAGTAAAATTCTAGTGACTGTTGGAAGTGATGCTTCAAAATTCTAGTATCGAATAAAATCCTGTCCAATGTACTTTAAAATTCTGGTGTAAGACCATTTTCTCGAAACATTTTTTACACGGAAAAGGGTAAAAATTATGGAGAATTGCACATAAGTACAACCCATAGACATATGTTGCAATATAATAGCCAGTTACAACTTTACAAATCTATAACCCAAAAATAATAGGCTAATGTTTGAAAAAGAGATTTTTTGGGTTCTTTATTCAACAAAGGAGTTTCATCAGGACTATTATCTTATTTATGAAGTCTTGGGGATTTTTTTATTCTTCCATTATCTGATTTTGATCTTTCTCCCTTAATTTGTCTTTAGTAATCTCTCCTATTATATCATCCTAAAATCAAAACATAAGAGCTGCTTGCGGAAAATGCAATTATATAATTACAATAAAGAGTTTGAGCTAAAACATACTATGCATAATTGTAAAAGATCATCACAAATAGAGAGCATAGATAAGTTTGTAACCTTTCCCAAAGAATTCTTCCTCAAAAATGGTAAACAATATAAAAAACTGAGCATCTTACATTTTTTCAATTTCGTTGATTCAACTTATATGGTAAATTGAAAAACAATTGCTGCAAATTTGTGATTTGGCGGAGAAATCAACAAGGAAAATACATTTATACATGATTTGTTCTAGAAAAAGTAAGAAAACATGAAAAAAATTTAATTTTATTATACATATACAGTACATGTATAATGATGTATAAACTATGTAAAAACTTGTATATGGAATGTATAATAATATATATCAGAAAAATAAGAGAAAGAAGAAGAAGAGAAGTGTCAAACTTCCATGGAGGGCTCTTATATAATGACGATGTATATATATCCTTATACATTAAGAAATAAATAATTATATAATGTTATAAACATATATACACAATTATACAACAATGTATAAGTGTGTATAAACAGTGGCTATACAATATTTATACCAGAAAATATCTTGTGTTCACTATTACACTTCCATTTCAGCACCAAAATATCAAAAGAGAGAGTTTTTAAGAGAAAGTTAGATCTAGAAATTAAAGAGGATAGAAGATGGAGGTGAAATTTTTTTCATAAAAGAAGTAAGATAAATCACTTGAACATCATCTGAATAACTTGAAAATTGTCTGAATGCAACACCAGAGCAAATCATTTGCTAAAACACAAAAATGGTTCAATTTTAAATGGACTTTTTTCGGCAGAACAAAAATAACATAAAGTGAGTAAAAAATGGCTATTCACCACCGGAGATTGATTCTCCGATGACCTCAATGACTTTGTCGTCAACCTCTTTACCTTGAATAGAAGGGAAAAAATGGGTAGATGAGGTTATCCACGCCGGAGATTTATTTTTCCGATGACATCATTAACTTTGCCGGCGGCCTCTTGATTGACTTCGTTGTCGACATCTTTACTCTAAAAGTTGAAGAAAAAATAAAATGGATAAAGGAGGTTGTCCACTTCTCTTCTTCACGCTAGGTTAACCGATAAAATTCTTTTTACACATTATATGCAAAATGGGCTATGTCGGAAAAAATTTAAAAATATGGGCTCTTTTTAGTTGTGAGATTGTGCCGACTGACACAAGATGTAATTCTTCCTAAAAAATACCCTTCTACTATACAAAAATGATCATATATACCCTGTGTTATACTTTCGGTCTATTATTACCCTTCCTCCGTTAAGTCCTCCACCATGGCCACACCATCCTATGTGGCCTAAAACTTTAATGATGTACACGCCATATGATATCCCACCTCACTGCCCCAATTCTATTTTAACCCTCTTCTATCACTTCTTCCACCATCCCTCCCCCACCCAACTGGGTTCGAATCCATCCAATACCATATCCTCCAATAATTTCAATGGGCATCTAAATTAATGCCACATTTCCGTCACAAAATTTAAAGGTTAAATTCGCATTAGCAACTCTTCTTGCATAGTTGCCCATTAAAACTAGCCCCGCTACAATTCACCCAACAAAGCATAACTAGAAAAGGAATTCAATGTGTGGGTTCACAACAAGGACCTTACCTTCCAAAACTCTTCTCTTTTCTGTAACTCATTTCATTCTATAATACTGAAAGATTCTAATAAACTCCCATTACATAATTCAAATACAAAACAAATAAAAGACTTATTCCCTACCCAATTTATACTCATAATATGTACGGAAAAAATAAAGAGCTTTGTGCATCATCCATGGTGCCGTAAGCGAAAAACGAAAGAGCTCCTAGTCATTATCTATGGCCTTTTAAGGAAGAATATGGTTACAAATGTATCAAATCTTAGATACACTAAGTTTCTTCACTTCAATTTTTACAAATACAAAAGAGAACATTCTAGTAAATTAAACTACGCAGCAGTCGTTCCCTTTGTTTGGCTGTTGAATCAGAGCTTTTCTAATTATACAACCAAAAAGGCTAAAACTTAAATCAATATTTGTGTAAAACCAATGTCAAAACAAGCACAAAAAAAAATTCGTGGGAAAAAATTAGAGAGTGAAAGAATTTAGTAGCAAACAGCCAATTTTTTAGTAACCATATACTATAATTACAAATAAAAGAAACGAACTATTAGCTTATAAGAAGAGTAAAAGGAAGAAGAAATTACCATAGAAAGAGGAGGAACCTTAGGAAGATCTAATAGGGGCGGTGGTAGTTAGGTGAAGGGAAAAGTGGGGGGCTGGGGTTAAAACTGGATTGGGGCGATGATGTGGCATATGGTGTGGCGTTCAATATTAGGCCACCTTGGATGGTGTTGGTTGTTTGACTCAAAATATATCAAAACTTTTTTGAA